CATGTTTTGTAACGAACTGAGCCTATAATTACAATAGAAGAAGTACAGTTTTCGAGGAAAAAGAACATAAGAGCCCATTTTTTTTTTTCATATAAGTCTTCTCTATTGTCTTTCCTATAATTTCATTCATGTGTTTAAATCAATAATTCGAAGTTACTATTTCTTTTATCTAATAGCCACGTTTCAATACTATACAGTGCCCCATATTTAGCTCTGAGTAATAATAGAATACGCAATCTCCTTCTCGTTTGAGTTCAACGCGTTGCGATCCACTGTGCGATTTTTTATTAAGGCAGCCTACCTCCAAACGGACGAGAAAGGTGCTGATATTGAAGATCCGAGGCTAGCCATCGTATAATTGAGTGTTTAATTTAATCAAATGACCCGACTTAGGGGATAAAATACCAAGATAGAATTTTACTGCAAGATTGATGTACAAAGCAATAAAAATATGGATTCTTTGTCAAAATTTCTGAACTACAAAGAGGGACAAATTGTAACATGCAAATGACGGGTGGATTTTATTCGCCGTGAAGTTGAATTAATGGAGGGCTTTGGGGTAAAGTCTCATAGTCAGTCAGGTTTCCAAATAGTGGATGGAATGTATACTTTTCAATTTGCTTTGTTGCAAGTTTCCCTTTATAGTTCATCTTTAAAATGAAACCCACGGAATGTCAGCTCTCACAAACTTTTTTTTATTTGTCTTTCGTATTCTCTAACTTATTTGAACAAGACGTTTGAGTTATGTTCGCGCACAATTGCAGAAAAAATGAAGAGAAAGTCTTAAACGTGAGGATAATTAACTGAATAAAGTAATCGAGTAAATTGCAATTTTGTCAATGCTGACATTTCTTCTGCTTAAGAATTAGGTATAGCTTCAAATTTTAATCGAAGTCTCATGTTTCCAGAAGGAATAATATTTACTACCAAAAAACTTTTTCCATAAGTTTTTTTCAGGGTTTCCTCTTACTAAGTATTCTATTTATTTAGTTTCTAATTTAAAGAAAGGTGAAAGTTGCACAGTCTTAGAAACGTTAAAATACACATTGTTTCTTCCTGTCAAGTTGGATTTAATTAAAATATGGATGTTTGAAACAGAGCCAGAGATGCGTACCTATACATTTCACGTATGAAATCAAAATATTCATACGAGAAATATTTTTCTTTATCCTTTTATTGGTCATGACTCATAAGATTCTCTCGCTCCGGAAGCTCTCCGATATTTTCACGAGTAAATACTCAGAATTTTTGATGAAATAAAAGACCACCACTAAAAAACAAGACCTCCAACACGTCTTATCGACCTCAGCAGGTTGTTTGCAACCACGAATTAGCACCGATGACAGTGGCTGATCTATACGTCGGTAAATAGGCATCAATAATTACCATACCGACGGCAATAAACTCATTTTTGAATCGTGAGCCCAATTTTAAACCCGACCACACAAAATTTGCGCGTGGTGAAGACAATAGCATCATAACTTCTGCTTCAGCTCCCAATCTTCTGTATGATAATTAAAAAGAGCCCGACCGTATATCCCTCCTCTTAGCTGCAGTATGTCCTCGCGCTCCGCGGCCGTTAAAATGTCGAATTTATGCAAATGTGCGGTCGTGAAGGAACGCATGTCTGTAATTATGCATGATTTCTTGAATCGGGCGAAAATAAAATAAATAAAAGAAAAATTGCGCGAATTAATTGGACACGAATTTTAATTGGAGCTGTAAGCAGTCTTCGGCGCAATAAATCAGTAGCAATTGGGGTTGGGTGGAAAGTGATTTTTGCAATAACTGAGCAGCCATGTGAACTGAAAGTATCATGCACGTAAATATACCTCCAAAGCAAAGTCCTTCCAGCAACAAGGCCCTACATTGCTACACTTCAGACTGATTGTAAAAAACATCATACTCGTGAAGTAAAGCGATTTTTTCCTTTCGGATACGTCCGGATGCCATATCGCAGCGAAAATCGTTGGTCCAATTAATAGGAGGAGAGGTATATCATATAGCTTTTCGAACACCAACAAAATTCTGAGTCAAAAATAAGAAAACTTCTGATAAATTTACTATACCGAACGAGACCTGATGGTAGCAACGACTACTAAAATGAGTTTACGAAAGTGGAAATTTCAAAGAGGAAAAGTCTGAGGAAAACTGTTAAAATATATGATATTGACATATATCTGCCTAACGGAACCATGTGCATTAGGACATGAGCCCTGACGCCCATACGAATACATGAAGAACAGGGCTTATATCATAATCCACATAGTTCCGTGTGGCAGAAATACGTCCAATTAGGAAACCCTTTTCGTTCTTTTTTATGTGAAAATGTCGCCTTAGACTAATACTATACTTTTTCAATCACGAATGATACACATTTGATTAAGTAGTATTTAACCAGTAACGGAGGAAATCCTAAAAATGTACGTTACGCTCCCGCTCACCCTTCCCCACCTAGTAAAAATCACTAATGAACATCAGTTTTTCACATCCTATTGTTTATTTGTGAATGAATTTAAGGGGAAAAAACGAAAGAGAAAACCAAAGGCAACATAAGTGGTTCGAACATTTGTAATCATAAAATTAAAAAAACGTGAAGGATTTTCATGAAACTTTTCCCCAAAAAAATGAATCGCAAAGATCTAGATCTAACTTTTCTATCCTTTCGTTAAAGTCTCTCAAGTTATAGGAGAAGACTACTAAATATTGTCTCATTTTTTCTTCTTTTTTCATAAAAAAAAGGAAGAATCAAAAACACTAAAATGAAATAAAGAAGAAAAGCAAAAGATAAAAAGAGCCCCTCTGCAAATAGGAAAACATACAGCATCAAGCTTTACATAGCCATGGACAATTGGACAACCTCCCTTCCCAGTAACGCAGCCGTAACGCGAAGAGCGTTACATGTTTTATAATAAACAGCCCCTCGCCAATCGATAGGGCTTTTTCTTAGAAGTTTTAGAATTTGAACTCTCTTCTCCTGCGGGCCGATTATTGAAATTGACAGACAAAGTTATAGACAAAGAGGAAAAGAGGAATTTGAAGGAACCCTATTGGAGGAAGTGAGTGGTTGCAATGGACAAAGGAGGAAAGGACTAACTAACGGCAACCCACGAGAGACCCTTTAGGTAGTCCATCATTTACCCCCTTACCCTATAGGAACCATCGCCATTTCAACCAATAGGATCGCTCCATACTCCCTATGTCTCTTTGTCTACAATTGCTTAGCTTTGTCTATCAATTTCAATAATCGGGCCGCCGTGCGGAACGAAAATCAGAATTTTCATTCCAACGTGGCAGCCCGATTTAGCGTGGTTAAATCTACCTTGATTCATACGCCCGCGCGCTAAAGATTGTACTGCTGCTGCTGTTTTTGTCTTGTACCAACCGTCGGATTCTCCTCCTCAATGAAGATGCAGATCACGTAGGTACACAGCGGCAGTTGCTGAGAGTAAACCTCAAAGATTTTAATCGGAAAGTTGAGGATGCCGAGCGAACCGAGGCTGTGTCGATTCTTTCAGCCCTCTTGACCCGAAATCCACGCACCAAAGTGCAATCCTTGTGAGCTCGCAATCGAAAATCCGTTTCTCCGGTGTCAGAAAATTTCAAAGCCTAAAAAATTTCTTCCTGATTTAGAGATGGCAAACACGATTATACACAATTTAGACCGAGTTCGATATATTATAAAGATACCAAGTCTCATTCTAGCAAAAAGTTATCAAAGGAAGTTTCGAATTCAACTAGTCGTAAATTTTACCTTGTCAAAAATTTTAAGTCAAGTAAAAATATTTAGAACGTGCAAATTGAAGTAAAAACATTTTGGACGTTAAAATGACCGAGGAATTTTGTTCTCAACATTGAGTCATATGGTGAAATAACTTGTCAAAACTCTTTTCCTTGCTTTAGACTTAATGCGGCTTGGTGTGTTTTCGATTAAAGCGGTTCATTTCTCAATCAGAGGAAAAATATATCTAGATGCGATTTTTTTAACTTGTTTTGACCGTAGAAAGATTTTGACACTACTTAATGACAAAAGAAATTGCAAATTCAAATATGTGAAAACATGCTTTACCCACGAAACAAGTATCGCATTGCGGGAATTGATTGTTGTATCGAATTAGATACTTTTTTCATGCAGCCAAATCCCGTACTTATTTAAATATAAAATATTTCCTCAGATTCACGCAAGGAGTTTTCGTCATTTCTTCAGCCTGAGAATCAAACTTTGCGGAGTGTTCAGCCTTATCGATGTGATATATCGTACCCCAGTTCGACCACAGCGGGAGTTTAGGACGGACCACCTTGAAAGGACTTTGATCCTGTGCCCCGAATTTGCCGGTTTAAGAAACTTCTTTTGCATTTTCGGTACAAATCTTATTATTTAAAATAAAACTTCCCTCAAGGAAAGCGGCCACTGCACTCAGTCTCAAAGATTTTTAGAAAATCTGTAGCTCAACGTTAAATTCATTAGCCACCATGAGGCATACACTGAGAAAGAATCGGTTACATTAAACGCTGAAACCTTATTACGGTGCAGTTAATTGCGGAGTTTGGTGTGAGGAATACCTAATTTCGGTTAGTTGAGCCAAAGTTCGGTTTTTGAGACTGGACACTTTAGATACCTGCGCTGAAAAACTTAAACGTTCAATATAAACCAACTTTTTTTCTCAGCGCAGCTTAGAAATGTAACTATTCCCGCAAAGGATAATGGTACCCTTAAAAGTAGCATTTGCCTTGTCGAGCTTTCTAATGGTTAGCCCATTGCGAGGTCTCAAAAATAATTTGTCTCTGATCATATAATATCTAAGGGGTAGATCCTAAATTACCCAACGCAATTTTCCGGCATTTTTGACCGCCACCCCTTGTTACGCTTTGGTGACGTAGGTCCCCATCCTTTGACACATAAAAACAAAATGGCGTAACGCTCTCCTTGACCCCCTCCCCCCAGAGCGTTACGTAATTTAAGGACGGCCCCTAAAGAGGAAAAAGGAAATGAAACTTACCTCAAACAAGAGGAGAGCCGAAGAAAATTGGTTGCGATAGAACAGAGCAAAGTAATCCGTATGAAAGCTGAACTAGCTGAAAGCATAATGTCACGAACTCACATGATGTGGAGGAGGCGACAAGAGAAATTGGAAGAAAACGCAAATGCCCCTAACGCGGGACCGGAGCCGGCATGATGGATGCGGTCCGTGATCAGATCTAAGATCCCAATCCGTATCTTGGATTCACGATCAGCGATTCGGTCGAACACTTAGCACAGCCATGAATCTTGGGCATCGACACTTGGTGAAAAGAGCCGGTGGTCCGCCCCGACTCCGCGCGGTGTTATGACAAGGCGCATGGTGTTATGACAATGGCGTAATTTATGGGGATCGGAGACACTCCGCGGTGTTCGCGCATGGTTTTGGGTCCGGATCGCGGAAACGCGCACTTGCTGAGGCGGAAGTGGCGCACACCTCACTTCCGGCTCCAACACTCCACTCCGTTCATGACGAGTCGGGGCGAGATCTCGTGCTTTTGCTGTTACGTGCGCTGTCTGGCGGCTGTTGATCTAACTTCCGAGGATGAAGCTTCAAGTTCAGACTTTTGTCCAGAAAAATGTCCGACGGAAAATCCGAGAGTTTTGTGGCAACTTTCGCAAAATTTTTGAAATGACTAAAAAGTTTTATCGCTTTTGAGTATTTCTTTACACTTATCAAATTCAGGAACTAGTTATGGTTTCAATTAGCTAAATTCGCTTTCTGAGTTTATGATCCCTTGCAGTTGTAATTTTCTCAGAGTTTGAGAGAAATGTCTCATCCATTCTTGGATTTTCGCACTATCACACTGAATTTACCAAGGAAGTAGGCAGTGAAGGCATGTTCTAGTTTTAATCTTGTCATTCACACAATCCAAAAACCGACGAAAATATCCTGAAAATAGCAAATAAATGGACGTCTTAGGATATCATGAGGCTGGCATTTCGAGACGCTCCTCAAAAGCTCCTCAATTTGAAATCGCCTGGAGTGTCCTTTTACATGTTTTTGGGTTGATCGCAATCTGCCTAAAATGATTTTTTTTTTTTTTATCTAACTATTTTCTTTTCTACTTCCTTCTCTAATTAGGATCTACTTTTACGACACATTTCGAAACTGCGTAGTTTCATTTGAGCATAGCGAGATTCACTATGGCAGATTGCGATCAGAGCGGAAAACGGGATACGCCTGTGATATATTCATTAGATCCCTGTTGGATGTGATTTCAAGCAAATTTTCGGGTGAATGAGGTTCGGAAAATTTCTTAAAATCTCGTCTGTTGCAGCTGAAAAATGGTTTTGTGATGCATTATGATTCGTGTAATGATATTTCTACGCGAATTTTATGATTTCATGACTGGCCTACCAATTAATTTAGCCACAAGATGATTCATGAAATCGTTTAACTACATAAAAATTGGCATAAACCAGAGTTTGAGAATTCTATTTAATTGAGTCATTAAAAAAATATCGAGATTCATTATTTTGGATAACTACTGCGAGGTTTTAGGAAATCTTGGCGGATTTTATTTTATCGTCAGAACTAGACAATTACGCAGATTTATAACATAATTTTTCGCCAACGAATATTACCTATAAAAACTGACATCACATTAAATATTAGCATTCCACTTTTAATGGTTCTTTTAAAATGGATTTTTGATGCCTTACAAAAGACTCAGAAAATATTGATGAAGGACCTCATAATTATTATTGTTTATTTTTTTGGAGAAAGGAAGACGAGGATTTTTCCATCTTATATTTTTATACTTTTTTTTACCATCCTGGCGGAATCTTCCGATAGTTTTATTTAGTGGGGATTCTTACCAATATCACGAATTAAGTTTTTTTGTACAGATTTATAGCTTTCATGGCAGTGATGCCTCACATATTTTTTTAATTGGAGAAGCGAAATAATTGACGCTTATCAACGTAACGAAAATTTATTTGTTCCTAAAACTATTGATTATGTATCCCTCGCTAAAAGTGTATATTTTAATTAGAAATACACCGTACACCGTTACCACAATTTACTCATAATTAAAATTGCAATGTCCATTTTGATTGGGTTGAAAAAGATAGTAACACATTTAAGTCTTTCAAATATTTGAATCTTAGAAAGGATGTTTTTAGTTTTACTTTAAATCTTGGGTTTAAGTATCAAACTTATGACACCTTTTTAACATTATCATGGGGTTTCGGTCTCAGTTTCGAAGGGGTCTGAATTGCTTGGGTACGAAGAAGTGAAGAAGAGGAAGAAAAAGAAAATGAAAACTGGAAAATTCATGGAAATATTTCCGAATTTACTCTATGGAAACCTTTAAGATGTCTTTGAAAGATAAAAAAGATCTGATACATCATACTATAACGAGAGAATACAATGCGTTACGGAGTAATATTGCACAAATTGCGCTCATTACATGATTTCCATTTAAAATGAATTTGAAAAAAAAAATTCCGGCGGGTAATTTAAGCACAATTGAACATTACTGAGATGTAGTAGGGCGCATGATTAGATTATTTTAATTTTGGAGATAGGTACTCCTAATGGAATTATCCGGATTGATATTGATGAAAGAAAATTTTAAAACATTATGGAGGTAAAAATTTACAGAATTATATTTTTCTCAAGGACAAAAATCCTTCTTTCGTTGAAATGGGGATGCATTATCAGAAGGAAAAACTTAGTCAAGCACCGTGTCATTGCTTCTCAAACTTTATTTTGAGGAAAGTTAGAATGATATAAATGAGGATTGCCGAAAAGCAAACTTTGGGTTAGAATTTATAAATTTCTAGAATTTTATCCTGTAAAGCTATGTTCTAATGCGTTGAAAGTCCTGATAAGCATTGAATACCTAGAGTATCAGTTCAATATTTTAAATTATACAGACTAGTTTCATTGATTCGCGTGAATCTGATTGAGTAGCACTATATTTTGTCATTAAGAGGAAATGTTTAAATGGAAAACAAAGTTTCTCAGTATCGCAACAAAAATAAATGATTATTGCATTTCGACGATCTTACAACATTATTTATCTAGTAGTTTCACGAGTATTTTAATAAACTATGTTTTATTTAATTATGTTTTTATTTATAATAAATAGACAATGGTTCGACAGCATGTACAGTTGGTACACTAACCAGGAGGTAAACAAGTCCCGTTTCAGTGGCGGACGATCATTTTAACACTTCGGCCGCGGGTCATTTCCCGCAAGACAACGCGGGTTACGGCGACGAGATGAGCGGACCCCGATCTCACGTCAAAAACTGCAAAAAACGCGATACGTTCCGGTGTTTATTACGCGAAAAGGGTTGAGACGGGAGCGGCGCGTCAAAGACTCGTAAAAACGAAAACACACGCTAAAAGAGACGGACAGACGTAAGCTAAAAGAAAAGAGCCGACACAACGTCCGAAGATGACTGAATCATTAAAAGGTAACTGCTTACCTGTGGTATAGTGCGGTGGGCACCCCGGCCCCCGACCCCTGTCCTTACGCACAGTGGACCCAATCGCGGAGCCCACCAGAACGCAACTCCAGTCCAACCCAGTTTAGTCGTACAATCAAGTTTTTCTTGAACCCTTCAAGGAAGGGTTCAATTTGTCGCATTATTTTAATAAAATTGGACAGCGTTCAGCCCCTCTGCTTCCATCCAAATTTCCTTACCCTAGTTTTTTGTCCCCCGTGCGTTTCAGTTCAGTAACAGTCGCACCGTTTGCTTTAAAGTCACGCTAGGTTTGTTGTTACGATTATAAAAATTTCATAATATGTGTATTTGCCACTGCTTTTGTGTGTGTGCTGGACAATAAAGGTTCCACGGTGCTTAATGTGGTTGTGCGGCATACGACTTTAAATGAGGATAATTTTAACATTTTAACAATCTGAAAGCAATATCGCGAAAAAATCGTGTCATAACATTAAGTGTGCGCACTTCTCTTCGGAGACTTAAACGCAAGGATAGAAAAGTTACTAACTTTCTTTTTTCGTTGAATGCCTTGTATTGTTAAGAACTCGATGATGACCCTACATTTTAAGGAATCTCATAACGTGTTTACGAATTTTCTTGTGCTATTTGCAACTATGTGCATTAAGACATGAGCCCTGAGACCATTAATAATATATACATAACAGGGCTCACGTCAAAATGCACATAGTTCCGTTTCAGAAATACGTCCATTTCTGCACTTCCATCATCGATCTGTTCATTCAAACGACAGAACAAACTGACACCAAAAACTGAAAAATTGTTGATATGGATCTAAATCCTTTTCAGCTATGATGATGTCAGAATGAGTTGAAATAATTGCGAGGAGCGGGATTTGCAATTTGCTTCTATTCGCGTAAGAGTGGAAAATGTTGATTTTTGATTGTGGGAGTAAAACTAGAATCGGGACACAGAGCTAGTTGAGAGGCCTGGAAATACGATGCTGAGATCGGAGGAGGGCGTAAGGCGCAGGGGTCACAGGTCTCAGTGTCGAGCGGCCACTCGACTTTATTAGCGGTGGCCACTCCAAGCCGCAGCCGCAACCGCAGAGAAGCACCTCCCGAAAACTCGAGCGCGAACTTTAAACCCCCCTAGATCTCCCTAGACTTTCCTAGACACCCTAGACCTCCCTATACCCCTAGACCTTCCTAGACCCGCTAGACCCCCCTAGACTCGCTGGACCTCCCTAGACCTCCCTAGACCCCCTAGACCTCCCCAGACCCCATACAGCTCCCTAGACCCCCTCAGATCCCCCTAAACCTCCCTAGACCCCCCCCCTAGAAACCCCTAGAAACCCATAGAAACCCCTAAATACCCCTAAAAAAACCCCTAAACCCCCTTGAACACCTCTGGACGAGGTGTCCTCCTGCGACGTTAGAGGACTGAAAGAACGTTTTGAGAAGCCCCTCGTTGAGGATCCCTTACAGCTCCCTAGACGCCCCAAGAAGCCCCTAGAAACCCCTAGAAGCCCCTAGAAACCCCTAGAAACCCCTAGAAACCCATAGAAACCCATAGAAACCCATAGAAACCCATAGAAACCCATAGAAACCCATAGAAACCCATAGAAACCCCTAACAAACCCTAACCCCCCCTCGTTTGAGGATCCCTTACAGCTTCCTAGACCCCCTAAAAACCCCTAAAAAACCCTAAACCCCCTTAGACGCCTCTGGACGAGGTGTCCTTCTGCGACGTTTGACGACTGAAAGAACGTTTCGAGAAGTTGGGTTTGAGGGTCCAGCTGGACGAGGGAAAGAGCTCATTGCGCGGAGGAGAGGGCGGGAGACGGGAGGCGGGGCGCGGGAGATCTTCTTCCTACCGCAGGACGGAGGACTTGTGGTGAGCCTCGGAGCCGCGGCGGAGCGGGCCGCCAAAAGCCCAGCGCAGCCTCCTCGGAGCCGAGCCCGGCTGCGAAGCAGTGCGGACCGCGGAGGAACCTCCAACGGCAACGGCAACGGGCCACGGACCCGTGCCTTTTATAATACTCGAAACACGTACAATAAATAGCTCGGCGACCCTATTTCTCCATCGCATGCGCATGTGTGTACGCTTAAAACAGAATCTGTATTGGAGAGCGTCTCCCATTGAGGTGCAAACGCCTAATCTCGGATTATGAGCCCTCGGCCCCTTTGTTGCCGCCGGTGTTTGGCCGGCTCTCGCCACGAAATGTGTTTCCGAACGTCTTAATCTCGAGATTTGTGTTCGCGAGGTGTTTTGATCCCGGCGGGCGGCCCGCGCTCGAGTTTTCGGGAGGTGCTGCTCCGCGGTTGCGGCTGCGGCTTGGAGTGGCCACCGCTAATAAAGTCGAGTGGCCCCTCGACACTGAGACCCGTGACCCCGGAGCCTTACGCCCTCCTCCCATCTCAGCATCGTATTGCCAGGCCTCTTAACTAGCTCCGTGTCCCGATTCTAGTTTTACTCCCACAATCAAAAATCAACATTTTCCACTCTTACGCGAATAGAAGCAAATTGCAAGTCCCGCTCCTCACAATTATTTCAACTCATTCTGACATCATCATAACTGAAAAGGATTTGGATCCATATCAACAATTTTTCAGTTTTCGGTGTCAGTTTGTTCTGTCATTTAAATGAACAGATCGATGATGGAAGTGCAGAAATAGATGTATTTCTGAAACGGAACCATGTACATTTTGACGCACTGAAAAAAAATTCTCGGTGTTTTTACCAAGGTCCGTTGGTACCTTTACCATCTCACTTTTTTTACCAATTATCAGTAATTTTACCAAGACAGACTGGTAAGCTTACATACAAACCGGTATTTTTACTGTTTTTTTTTCAGGTAAGAATACCACATTTATTGGTAATCAATTCCCGGTAACTTTGCCATTTTATCTCGGTAATTCTACCACAACCGATAAAAAATATTGGCGTTTTTACCAAGGTCTAGTAAAATTACCGAGAAAGTTCAATAATTTTACAGAGATTTCTCGGTAAAATTACCAATTCCATAAATGGTAATTTTACCAAGAAAAAACTGGGATCAAATAGAACCCTGAATTCTTGGTCATTTTGCCCTTTTTTAAGTAAATACACCGAGATTTTTTTTTTTTCAGTGCACATTTATTTCAACTCATTCTGATATCGTCATAGCTGAAACGGATTTAGATCCATATCAACAATTTTTCAGTTTTTGGTATCAGTTTGTTCCGTCGTTAGGGTGAACTGATCGATAATGGAAATGCAGAAATGGACGTATTTCTGAAACGGAACCGTGTGCATTTTGACGTGAGCCCTGTTATGTATATATTATTATGGGTCTCAGGGCTCACGTCTTAATGCACATAGTTGCAAATAGCACAAGAAAATTCGTAAACACGTTATAAGATTCTTTAAAATGTAGGGTCATCGTCAAGTTCTTAACAATACAAGGCATTCAACGAAAAAAGAAAGTTGGTAACTTTTCTATCCTTGCGTTTAAGTCTCCGAAGAGAAGTGCGCACTCTTAATGTTATGACACGATTTTTCCGCGATATTGCTTTCAGATTGTTAAAATGTTATAATTATCCTCATTTAAATTCGTGTGCCGCACAACCACATTAAGCACCGTGGAACCTTTATTGTCCAGCACTCACACAAAAGCAGTGGCAAATACATATATTATGAAGTTTTATAATCATAACAACATAACTAGCGAATAAAAAAAGATAGATGCAGAGACCCTCTCATTCTATAAATGGTCGAGGATGTATGGAAGCTTTATGCTGAGATGCGGATGTAGAGGTGAAAGGGAAAGGAAGTAATCGGCTGCTTTGATTTCTCAACCAAGGGTCTGGGGGGAGAAGGGCTCTGCATGTTCATCTAATAAACTCACTCAATAGAAACATGTGACATGCATGATAAAAATAATTGAAAGAAAACCCATCTCGCTCGTCGGAGATGATATCAAATTTCGCGTATGAAAATATTTTTAATTCGATTCATTATAATGCAAATTAAAGTCGAATCGGTTGCCGAAACTATAAAGAATGCGTAGTATGTAGGATCTCGATTGAAGCTTGCCAAATCATACAAAAAATCCTTATTTTTAAAGTGAATATTAGAATGTAACATAACTTTTTTTCTGATGGTTTACTGGCTTACATCCCAGCAAAGCCCACAGCCAAACATGTTAGGACGTGACGCATGAGTGCGTTTGTAAATCTGTGCAGCCAAATATTGTCGATGCCAATTATATGTTCAATGAATTTCAATGATCTACTACCCATTGCGATTTGATAAAATTGAGGGCAGTATTAGTATCCTTTGCCGTTCAGCGGAGGAAGAGCGGTCCCAAACGATCTTTTCCTATATCGAATCTAGTTTTAGCCTATATTGAAGTAATACATACTTGCGCCTCTTAAAACAATAGAAAGTGCACTATAACGACAAGAGAACTGACTTTTTGCAGTTATTGCCATCGTTTCTGAGCCCAAAAATGAATAGATTATTAACAAAATGAATTGGTCGTTTAGTGAATGACGACTAGGTAACCGATATTATTTTTAATCATCATGTATACACATAGAAAATTTTAACACAAATTTATGTATGGGTGTTATGACCTCTTTGTAATGAAATTAAGATGCCTAGAGCAATTGAGAGAGTAATTTCTCTTTTTTATTGCTTAGGTTTAGCTGAGCTCTTTTTTTTCAGGTGGGAACAATAACGCCGCAGTTTTCTTGGTTATTTTATCCTGAATTTTCTTTGTTTATTCAAAAACATGCTCCACTGGTCAAACGGATGTGTGTAACAGCTTTTCTTCGACAAAAATTTAAAGTCGCTAAAAGTGCTCACTTGACAGTAACCAACGGAATCTATTATCATAGGTCCATCAAGACACCCAGCGAGTAGATCCGGTGAACTGTGGCAACGGGAACTTGACATAAGGGCGTAACTACACTTCCCGATGAACCCTGGCTCTCTTAATA